GCCCCTTGTGATACCTCTTCATAAAGAGAGCAACATCATCAACTTTCTCATATTGATCATCATCATTTTCACTTTCACTTGAAGATGATGTGGTCTCTACTCTTTCTTGAACTTACTTGCTTGCTTTGGGCTTGTTGGTTGATCTTGGACTTGCTTGTAGAGCCTTGCTTGCTTGATTTGTTGGCCTTGAGAGCTACATCTTTGATCTTGATGCCCTCTAACTTTGCTTGCAATTCTCCAAGTTTCTTCCTCTCATGTGCTTCTTCTCTTTGCATGTCAAAGGTCAAGATCCTCCCAAGTACATCATTTGGTGTGAACTACTCAAACTTCTTTTTGTCTCTAATTAGAGTGACTATGGTCTCATTTCTAGGTGAATAAGCTTCCAACATAATCTTGATAACTTTGTGATCATCTAGCTCATCACAACCATAGCCTCTAATCTTGCCCACCATCGGCATCAACCTATCAAACATCTCTTATGGCCTCTCTCTATCTAAGATAACAAACCGGTTGAGCTTTGACATCAACAAGTCAATTCTTGCCTTTCTCACTTTGTCAACCCCTTCATGTGCTAGGTGCAAAGTTCCCCATATTTGCTTGGCAACAACAACTTCAATCACTCTATTGTACTCATCACCATCCAAGGCACTAAGCAACACACTTGTGGCTTGACCATTGAGATGAATGATTCTCATCTCTTCTAGTGTTGGGTTTTTAGGATCAACTGGTGGCTCAAATCCATTACAAACAATCTCCCAAATGCCGGGGTGAAGACCTATAAGATAGGCTCTCATCAAGTGCTTTCACTTGGCAAAGTTAGTCCTATTGAAATAAGGTAACTTGCCCACGGGCATATTGATGAAAGACCTCCGATCATGGTTAGTCATAGGAATAGAAGAGTAGTTAAAGAATACGGCGGCATATTTGTTGTTGTTGGCCTTGCCCTTTCCTTTCTTTTCCTTCTTATTTCCTTCCGACACTTGGTATGACTCATCATCATCTCCATCTTTGGAACTACTTGATATGCTTGATGATGCACTTGTTGCCTTCTCTTCTTCTTCCTTCTTCTTCCTAGCTTCTCTTCCTTTTCTTCTTGCTTCTCTCTTAAGCCTCTTTTCTTCTTTCCTTTGCTTCTTCTCCTCTAACCGTTGTTCCTCCTTCTTCTTCTCTCTTACTTCTCTTTTTAACTTTCTTGCCTCCTTCCTTCTTCTTCTCCTCTCCTTATCATTGAGAGCTCTTTCGGCATCGGTAGCCTCAAGATGTGGTAGTGTGGTGTTGCTTGCTGTCGACGCGCTCAGCTCGCTGCTGTCTGTGTCGACATACACCCGCTTCACGCTACTAGTTCCTCCTCTAGGATCCATACCTCACACGGTGAAGCGTATATGAGGTAACCTGCTTTGATACCACTTGTAGGATCTCTGGTTGACGTAGAGGGGGGATGAATAGGCCTGTCAAAATAAACACTCAAACTTTTATCAAATTTACCCTACGACACTGCTGCTCTGAGGGCGGCACTGCCGGGCCAGAACAGCGGCGCTACCGCACCTGCAGACAACTTTGAGTCATAGTTCAAAATCTGTGAACGAAAACTTAGATCAGAGAAATTTCCTAGCTTACTGCAGGTATGACAATCACAGATCAAGAGCTAAAAGTAGTAGGAACACCACACACAAGTAGATCGACTAGAAACCCTAGAAATCACCTCAACCATAATATGTCATGCAAGTAATGTAAATCAAGCACAATTGACACAATGATTTATCCCGTGGTTTGGCTCGCCACCAAGGCTTGCCTACCTTCACGTTGTTGAGGTTAGCCACTAAGGCTTAGGGCTTTCCAACCCTTCCTCGTTCTCAAGTCAATAGACTTAACTCTTGAGATGATGGGTGAGTTTACTAGCTTCAAGAGATGTATACAAACCTTTCGGAGCTGCCACACAAGTTGGCAAGCTCCACGGACGACGCTCTAGCCGGCTAGGAGCCAAGCTCCAAAAGTAACAAACACAACCGTCGGCCAAAACATGAACCAAGTGCTCTTTAGAGTTGGAGAATCAATGGAGCTGCTCTCTAATTGAGTTTTGGACCCTTTTCCCTTAAGGATTGATGGGGAAATCAATGGATTTGCTTGGGGGCTTGAGGTTAACAATGGAGGGAGAGAGAGAGCTCTGCTGCTTTTGGGTGAGCTAGAGTGAGGAAGAAGAGGCAAAGTACCGTTGGGAAGGAAGAGGAATGGTATAAATACTCCAACCCTCAATGGTCACTTGAGTCATGGCAGTGCCTCTCTTCAAGTGCGGTAATACCGCACCACGCAAGACAACAAGGGTAAGAGTAAAGTATAGACTGTCTTGGCTATGAATCTGAGGATGCATGTGTATGTTTGAGCACTTGGTAGCACATATTAGCTTAAGCATTGTGTCCCCCTTTATAGTATGGCTTTTCCTATACTCAAATTCAAAATATAAAAGAATTTGAACCTCCTTTAAGTTTAAAGCCATCTATATTTGTAATTGGAGGCTCCTCCATTTCGTGTAGCATCTTTGAACATGAATTCTCTGCTTGTCATCTCGATAAATCTCATTAGTTCTATAATTGCGTGGTCATTATTACCAAAACCTACAATTAGGGCTTGATTGCACTTTCAGTAAGTGTTCTATACGGATGGTGCAAAAGTGGATCGAGATGGTACATATGTTGCAATAGTTGTACACGTATGTTGCAAGCGTCTATCCCTAATATTTTATCTGTTTTTTAGATGTATGTTGCAAGTGTATTTATCTGGATGTTGCATATGTTTCACACACATGTTGCACGTGTTTTATCTAGATGTTGCGTACGTTTTCAAAAGTTTTCAAGTGTTTTTCAGATGTTTTTGTAAGTGTTTCAAACATATGTTTTAGGTGTTTCATTTGCCTTCAGATGTATGTTTCAAGCGTAGCATTTGGGTATTTCAAAAGTAGATCGGAGTGTTTCACATGGAATGTGCGTGGGAAGCGCGAGAGGACGCGAGCAGTCCTCGCGCGAGCTCGCGACGTGGGCGACGTCTGGGTGGTGCATGCCCCATGTGGGCGCGCGAAACGCAGACGCAGGCGAGGGCGTGCTGGCACGAGTGCAGAGTGCAGGCGTGGGGAAACGAATCGGCACGGGCCACGTACCATCCGACGGATGGGTATCCGATCAGACGTCCGAGCGCCAACAGTTTCATTTAATAAAGCACAACTGGTGTATTTATATTTACAACCAATCTATCAGTTCACCTATATAATAGTTGGCTACTACTACTAGCATATACTTCATTATAAATACATGGTCCACTTTTTGCTCTCCTACAATTTCTTAGAGCTCGTTTATCAGGCCCCGTTCGGCTGGCAGAATTTTGGCTGAAACTGACTGAAAACACTGTTCTGGCTGAATTGTTGTGAGAGAAAAATACTGTTCCAGCTGAAAAAAGAAGCCGAACAAACCGAATATGGGGTTAGCCGAACGGAACCTAAATCCAACTTCTCTTCTCTCTTCTCTACCTCAATATAAAGTCCACTCGTTTAAAAAAAAGTCCACTTACAACTTTTTATTATTCTTACTCTTAGCGGCGATATAATACTTATGTATATGGAACAAGAATTTCATTTTGAGAAAATCTCCTTGGTGGTTAATTTCAAGCTGAGAACGTTTTCTTCCCCTCAACTATATGGCAATCGGCCTATTCGGCTGGGCTTATACGATTGTATACGATTATGAATTATAAGTTGGAACAGTATTTTTCTCTCACACCAAACCAGTCAGCAGTAAATAATCCACGATCGTTTATGACGAAACGAACAGGCTGAATGTGTTTCTTTTGAACAACAATTAGGCCCCATTCGTTTCACAGAAATTTATCTGCTGTTGATGAGAGAAAAATATGGTTTGTTAGTTTAAAAGTACCGTTAAAGTCGTGATAAAAATAGGAACTCAGTCTACGGTTCCACGCTTGCAAGAGGGGCCCACCCGAAGGCACGGCAAAGAACGGAGAAAGGCCAATTGGGTGCAATCCCACAAACCGGCAAGGCAACCCCAAAAAGATTTGACCCCTCTAAAAATTCACGCCTCCCTCCCCTCCCCGCGCCAAAGTCTTCTCTCCTGTCATCTTGACGACACCAGTCCATCAATGCAGTCTCCCTTTCAGTCCCATGCCATCACGCCTCTCATACCCTCCTAGATCCTCGCGACCCTTTCTTTTTATTTACACATTTTTTTGGTCCAATAAAGCAAAGGGCTTCACGATCGTTCTGGTTAGAGCAGTCAGTTGCTAGATCCTCATGACCCTTTCTTTGGGCACACATTTTTATTCCAATTAAATAACTTACCACCCAATGGTAGATGAATTTATATTCGCTAAATGACTTACTACGTAGCCAAAAAACGTACATTAATGTAATTAATGAAGAAAGAGAGCAAAAATCCTAGAAATAGTTTCCTCATAAAGAAATCAGGTCTTCTTTTGACCCAATGCACCAAGAAACCATAAAATCATCATTGAGGAGAAACCACAAGTTTCTAGAGAGCTCGTGCCGCACTCCTATTGAAGGAAGAAGATAGAGTTGGAAGAGAGAAAGAGAAAATAATTATTACTCATAGAAATTATTGATTAGAAAGCAATATTTTTTTAATATGATATCCTATATTATAGAAATTACTAGTTTCTTTCGTTGTTTGCTAGTCGCTTCTCCAATCCCAAAGGCCAAATATAAGCAAGATCTCCAGAGAGAGAAGCTGCTGCGATTGCGAAGCACCTTAGAAGAGGAGAGAGTGATACTACTGATGTATCGGTGTGATACCTCCCTGAGTGTCATCTTGTGCCGTCAGTGACAGTGAGCGGCGCTTCACTCCGTCCGTCCGGTGGCCCGACCTGCTTCCAGAGTTCCAGTCCAGTGGAGGGAAAGCACCGAAAGGCGCGGCCTTTTTTCTCGCTTTGCTTGCCCCTTCTTTTCACTTCCCTCCCTTTCCTCTCCTCCTCCCCGCTCCATGGCCCCCGCGGCGCCGGCGGGCCTCGCCGCCGTCGTGGTCGCGGTTGCCGTGCTCGCCGCCGCGGTGTCGGCGGCCGTCACCTACGACCGCAAGGCCGTGGTGGTGAACGGCCAGCGCCGGATCCTGATGTCCGGCTCCATCCACTACCCAAGGAGCGTCCCCGAGGTGCGTGACGCTCTCTTGCTCCTCGTCTTGCTCCTTCGGAGCGTGGCGTCCTTCTCCTCTCCCCCGAAATGCGGGCTAGCTGGCCCGCCGCTGCGGTTGGTGGAGTGTGTCTGACCCTCTTGGTTGTTGCGTGCTTGTTTCTTCTGGCGCGCAGATGTGGCCGGATCTGATACAGAAGGCCAAGGACGGCGGCCTCGACGTCGTGCAGACCTACGTCTTCTGGAACGGCCATGAGCCCTCCCGTGGACAGGTAGTTACCGACGCTGGTAAAAATGTCGGTTTCTTTGCCCCCTTCCTCTGCTGTTCTTGATGTGGTGGTTGGTTGCCCATGCGCAGTACTACTTCGAGGGGCGGTATGATCTGGTGCACTTCATCAAGCTGGTGAAGCAGGCCGGACTCTACGTGCACCTCCGCATTGGCCCCTACGTCTGCGCCGAGTGGAATTTTGGGTAAGCGGAACTTTCTTGGTTTTGCTCTATGTTTGTACGAAATGTTTAGGGCGACATTGATGTTCTTGCTGTGTCCATTGGTTTCTTGTAGTGTGTATGAGTTTCTTCTTGTGAAAAAAAAATTATGCGGAGATTTGGTAGTTAATTTGGTTTACTGAAGTCGTTTTCATGCTCTTGTAGTTGACAGTGAGTGTTCGCTTGTAACAACTCAGTCCTGTATTCCTGTGCTTTAAATTTGGCTAGTGAGGAATAATTAACACAGATCCATTGATATCAGTGATGTGAAGTATGCTAAACTATGTTTCTCTTCCCACTTTTGGTTTCAGTGGTTTCCCTGTTTGGCTCAAGTATGTCCCGGGCATCAGCTTTAGGACCGATAATGAACCGTTCAAGGTAAGAATTGATTTGTGGCTCTGCTTTTCATGTGTTTCTCCTTTCTAAAATTACTGCAAAACTCGATAAGTTTTTTTTTTAACCCTGGGTTCAATCTTGAACAGGCTGAGATGCAGAAATTCACCACGAAGATCGTTGACATGATGAAGTCCGAAGAGCTCTTTGAATGGCAGGGAGGGCCAATAATCCTCTCCCAGGTATGTTTGCAACTCTCCTTTGATATGTATTGATGCCATCCTTTTGAATGCAACCCACCATTGGATTCTGATTGTCCTTGCAGATTGAGAATGAGTTTGGGCCCTTGGAGTGGGATCAGGGAGAGCCCGCCAAGGCCTACGTGTCATGGGCAGCTAACATGGCAGTTGCACTCAACACAAGTGTTCCATGGGTCATGTGCAAAGAAGAGGATGCCCCGGATCCAATTGTATGTCCTGTACTCCCTTTATTTAAGTGTGCATCTTGGGCAGGATTTCTTTAATGTGCTGGGGTCTGAACTTGTGTCCATCTTCCAAGAAAGGAAACTAATGATTGGTCATACTCCTATGTTGGATGGTTTGCTATTTTCTTCCTCTCCCTTTTCATTCATCAAGAACTTACTTTGATCTAATGGTTGCAGATTAATACTTGCAACGGATTTTATTGTGACTGGTTCGCCCCAAACAAACCTCACAAGCCTACCATGTGGACTGAGGCTTGGACATCTTGGTAATTTAGTTTGCTTTCTTTTCTTAACCTAAGAAATCAGGAACTTGTATTTTTTCAATCTACGGATGAATAGTCACTAGTGTGTCTGTATCTTTCAAGAAAAGAACTTTCTATAGGCTGTGTGCTTTTATGCAGAAGTCGGACAACATGGTTTTATCAACTTGATATAATTTCTTGAGTTAATAAATGCTTCCTCAATAAAAAAAAAGAAACCAGGCACTTGTAGTTTTTTAAAAATATTTCTCCTGATGTATCCCTTTTTCTCTCTTGAATGCAGGTATACAGGATTTGGTATTCCAGTTCCACATAGACCAGTAGAGGATCTAGCATATGGTGTTGCCAAGTTTATTCAGAAGGGTGGCTCTTTTGTTAATTATTACATGGTAACTCCCATGATTCATGCTATGCAGCTGAAGCTTATTACATGGTAACTCCCATGGTTCGAACAAGTGATGGAGACACGGATGACTTCCCGATTAGGATAGGACTACATCAAGGGTTAGCTTTGAGCCCTTATTTGTTTGCTTTAGTGATGGATGAGGTCACAAGGGACATACAAGGGGACATCCCTTGGTGTATGCTTTTCATGACGATGTAAAAGCTAGTTGATGAAAGCAGGACAGAGTGAATCGAAACTCGGGAGACTTTGGAGTCCAAAGGTTTTAGACTTAGTAGAACTAAAACTGAGTATATGAGATGTGACTTCGGCACTACTACTCGGGAGGAGGAAGATGTTAGTTTGGAAGGTCAAGTAGTGCCTAGGATGGATACCTTTCGATATTTAGGATCAATGCTACGAGGGGACGGAGATATTGATGAAGATGTTAGCCATAGAATCAAAGCGTGGTGGATAAAGTGGCGGCAAGCGTCTGGTGTCCTATGTGACAAAAGGGTACCACAGATTAAAAGGCAAGTTTTATAGGACGGCGATTAGACCTGCTATGTTGTATGGTGCGTAATGTTGGCCTACTTAAAAGACGACATATTCAATAAATAAGTGTCGCGGAAATGCGTATGTTATGTTGGATTTGCGGGCATACAAGAAGGATCGAGTTCGAACGATGATATACGTGAGAGATTAGGGGTAGCGCCAATTGAAGAAAAGCTTGTCCAACACTGGTTGAGATGGTTTGGACATGTGCAACGGAGACCTTCAGATGCACCGGTGCGTAGTGGAATCCTAAGTCAGGATAGTAACGTGAAGAGAGGCAGAGGAAGACCGAAGTTGACTTGGGTAGAGGCAATAAAAGGAGACTTGAAAGGATGGAATATACCCAAAGACTTAGCCTTAGATAGGAATGCTTGGAAGACAGCTATTCACGTGCCTGAACCTTGATTGTTTCTGTTGGGTTTCAACTCTAGCCTACCCCAACTTGTTTGGGACTTAAAGGCTTTGTTGTTGTTGTTGTTGTTGTTGTTGTTGTTGTTGTTGTATTGAATGAGCAAAATTATGACTTATGACACCACTTTGCAGTATCATGGAGGAACAAATTTTGGGCGCACAGCTGGTGGTCCATTCATTGCAACTAGCTATGACTATGATGCTCCTATTGATGAATATGGTGAGTTGAACACATTCTACTTTGGTAAAAGGCATGTATTATACAGTTTGCATCAATCTCCTCTCATGTAAGGATTACTGCTACATAATTTCCCCTAAAGCAACATCTATATGTGATTCCATAGATGCTATAAGGTTGATTTAATGTTACTCCAGTCATCCTGAATGAAACTGTATGTATTTTCTGATATGTTTTTCCTGTCGGCAGTGGCAGCAGCATGACACACTAATATTGACATCCACAGTCCCTAGTATGTGAGACTACAAGGTTTTAATTATTAAAATTGTTGGATAAATGTAACCTCTAATATCCTTGATTATTAAAATACTTGATTGGGTCAGACATTGTTTCTGCAATCAAAAGCAAATGCATCTAGCATTGTTTTATTACTTTGATGGAGTACATTGGGGCATTTGGTGCAAAATAGCAAGTGATTATATTTCAATCATTTCATAATGAAATAATCCCTTATGTTGATCAAGTTGATCTGAGTTCCTCCCCTTCACTTCCTCAGGCTTACTGAGAGAACCAAAATGGGGTCACTTGAAGGAGTTGCATAAAGCTATCAAGCTTTGCGAACCAGCATTGGTTGCAGGAGACCCAATTGTAACTTCACTTGGCAATGCTCAGCAGGTTGTTAATTAGTACAGCATTAAGTTCACTCTTCTGCTCTTGAACGCAATAATATTTTGTACAGGACTGACTTCTTGGTAATTTCCTCTTTAGGCATCTGTTTTTAGATCAAGCACTGATGCTTGTGTGGCCTTCCTTGAGAACAAGGATAAAACATCTTATGCTAGGGTATCATTCAATGGAATGCATTATAATCTACCTCCCTGGTCCATAAGTATTCTCCCAGACTGCAAAACAACAGTTTACAACACTGCCAGGGTGAGATTGGGCACCAGAGTCTTTTTGTTCATTCTACAACTTCCTTTTGTTCTTACTCTAATTGAGTTACTTTCTTAAATTGGATGGTTTTCCTAATATTGAGTTCACACAACATCTCCTTGGTGCTACTGTACCTTATAATTCTTGGTGAAAAACTTTTTATACTGATATGTTTATACAGGTTGGAAGTCAGATTTCACAAATGAAAATGGAATGGGCTGGAGGATTCACATGGCAATCATACAATGAGGATATAAACTCCTTGGGTGATGAATCATTTGCAACAGTAGGGTTATTGGAACAGATAAATGTGACAAGGGATAACACAGACTACTTATGGTATACAACATAGTGAGTACCCTAAGTCCCTAACTTAGAAAATCTAATAATAGCTTTTACATTTCGAAGATGCTAAAGGTTTCACTTTCAGCGTTGATGTTGCTCAGGATGAGCAGTTTCTCAGTAATGGGAAGAATCCAATGCTAACTGTCATGTCGGCTGGTCATGCTTTGCATATTTTCGTTAATGGACAACTAACTGGTAAAACAAAGGGCTCTCTCTCTCTCTCTCTCTCTCTCCCCTCTTGATTTTCATCATGCTCTCTAATTCATTGGCAGGAACTGTGTATGGAAGTGTAGATGATCCAAGATTGACATATCGTGGAAATGTGAAACTTTGGCCAGGCAGTAACACTATTTCATGCTTAAGTATAGCAGTTGGTCTCCCGGTAAGTGCACCAGTTTTTTTCAACAGCAGATAGTACTCTTGGCTTTGAGCTGTGTCAACCTTTCCAGATTCATTCCATTAACCTTTGCTGCAGAATGTGGGAGAACATTTTGAGACTTGGAATGCTGGAATTCTAGGTCCTGTGACACTCGATGGCCTAAATGAGGGAAGAAGAGATCTCACGTGGCAGAAATGGACCTATAAGGTTACTTCTGCCATTGTTATGAACCTTAACCTTATGTATGATGTGTTAAACACGTGAACCTTAATAACTCTACTTGTCCAGGTTGGTCTGAAAGGTGAGGATTTGAGTCTTCATTCACTTAGTGGTAGCTCTTCAGTAGAGTGGGGAGAACCCATGCAGAAGCAGCCTCTGACATGGTACAAGGTATGGAAGATCATAAGTTTAATTGCTTTCCATGTGGAAAAAACGTTTTATTTTTCAAAAAGATCGTTTATTGTATCCTGTGCAGGCTTTCTTCAATGCACCTGACGGCGATGAGCCATTAGCTTTGGATATGAGTAGCATGGGTAAAGGTCAAATCTGGATAAACGGACAAGGTATTGGAAGGTATTGGCCTGGCTACAAAGCTTCTGGAACCTGTGGAATCTGTGATTACCGTGGAGAGTATGATGAAAAGAAGTGCCAAACCAACTGTGGTGACTCTTCTCAGAGATGGTAGGCACTTTGTATACTTATGCAGAAATATCCATGGAAAGTTTACATTTGGAGCTCTTTATATTCATGTCATGCTTGTTCAGGTACCATGTTCCACGTTCATGGCTTAATCCGACGGGGAACCTTTTGGTTATATTTGAGGAGTGGGGTGGTGATCCTACTGGAATCTCGATGGTGAAAAGAACAACAGGGAGTATCTGTGCTGATGTCTCTGAATGGCAGCCATCAATGACGAACTGGCGTACAAAAGACTATGAGAAAGCCAAGATCCACCTCCAGTGTGATCATGGACGGAAGATGACTGACATAAAGTTCGCCAGCTTTGGCACACCACAGGGCTCCTGTGGGAGCTACTTTGAAGGTGGTTGTCATGCACACAAGTCATATGACATATTTTGGAAGGTAAAGGATCTGCAAACACTGGTCAAGTAAAGCCAACAACATTGAAGTCGTATTTGTGTTTACTGTTTAGCTACAATTAAAATTGGTGTTTCTTGCAGAACTGCATTGGTCAAGAGCGCTGTGGGGTAAGCGTGGTTCCAGATGTATTTGGTGGGGATCCATGCCCTGGGACTATGAAAAGAGCTGTTGTTGAGGCTATATGCGGTTGAGTCATATAATCCATATAGCATACTGGTTTCTACAATAATGTTACCCTATCAACCTGGCAAGGGGTGAAAGTCGCGGCAACTGTGACGCACGGATTGTCAGGAGTTACAGGAATTAGTTGTATGTTAGATTTAAGCATTGATATCTGTATGTAACTTAGGCTACATAAGACTTGCACGGAAGAAATGGTTAGGACCCTAGCTGTGAGAAATTAAGTGTTGTGGGTCTCTAGACAGAGTGTAAATTGGTCTGGCAGGCGAGTGACGCGCAGATGAGACTCTGCTTATACCTGAGTCCATGTGCGCGGTGGCTCTTGGGTTTGAGATTGCCAAAAAGCCAGCAATTGGCTTTGCATTATCTGATTATTCATTTTTGGTCATTGGAGGGTGCAATGTAAATGCTCAGGGCCCATCATCCATGAATTTTCCTAGCAAGTATTGAAACAGTAAAGAAAATATTGGTTCAGATTATAAATAGCAGTTGTCTTACATTTGCCTGACTCGGTGTTTTGTTGGGCATGGTTTACGTGAATGTCATCTTGCTGAATACTTCAGTTGCTTACATCAAACAAATCATGATCATGCAAGATGCAGTAGTACTTGGTTTGCTCCTGCAAGTTGCGGTCAGGGATATAAAAATTCGGTTTTGACCGGCCAAACAAAGGGCCTGTTCGGCAGGACTGAAAAATACTGTCCCTGCTGATTGTTGTGAGAGAAAAATACTGTTCTGACAGGATGTAAACAGTGATTTCGTGAGGTGGCTGACCGGTCAGTCACCAGCCAGCCGAACACTACCCAAGGCGGGTGAAAATAATAGAGTTACCGGTTTGGTCGAAAAGTTAGCTAAACCTCATCAAATATTTGACCGAACAATCTGTTTTTTTGCTCCAGTTAATAGAAAGATTTTTTTTTAAAAAAAAGTGAAACATATTCTAGACACGCAAAGATATCCTACCATCTCTTTAGGTATTAACAATGTATATTTAGCCTCCAAACATAAGATGCTTATAAGTTTGCTAACCCTCTTCAAATATTTGACTGAACGATCATTTTTTTTTGGAAAAACTCCATTTTTGACCCTCCAACAACTATGACTGCAGTTTGTTTCTAGCCCTCTAACTCGAAAACCAGACACGCGCAGTCCCTTAACTCTCAAAACCGTTTAAAATTGGCCATCGCGCCCATTCGACCGTGGTTTTGGCCCAGTCAAACCCGCCATGACCGCGGTTTCGGCCCAGTCCTCATCCCTTCGTGACTGTCGCGCGGTCAACGAGCGAGAGCAGAGAGGGAAAGAGAGAGAGAGAGAGAGAGAGCGCACGAGGCCGACCAGCGCCCCTCTCTCGCACTCACTCCCTTTCTCCGCCCTCCTCCCCTATGCCTCCCTTGCTCTTCTTCCTCTCTCTCTCCCTCCAGCGCAGTAGGAGCGGCAGGCGGGCCGGCGGCGCGGGGCGCCACCTCCTCTAGGTGGGATCCGCACCCCTTCCCCACCCCGACGGCGACGGGCAGCCACGCGGGGCCGTCACCGGCAAGCGGCGACGAGGGCCCTCGCGCGCCCAGCGGCTGCTGCGGTGGTGGAACAGGGCACGGGCAGGGGCGGCGCGAAGCAGGGCGCGGCTCTCCTCCGACGCTGCCGTCTCCGTGCAAGGGCGGTGCGGATCTGGCGTAGGGCCACGCGGATCTCCTCCTCTGGGGCCCTCTCTCCCTCTCCTTCTCCGGTGAACAGCGGCTGCGGAGGGCGCGCCGGCAATGGAGGCGGCAGATGACTGGACCGTCCACGGAGAGCAGAAGGGAGAGCACTGGGAGCATGGAGGTTGTGGTGGGGTGAGCGCACAAGGCCCTACGCCATTTACAGAGGGAGAGAGGGGAGTGAGCGGTGGGGAGAGCTCGGCCATCCACCGTCAATGGCGAGCGGTGGGGTGCGCGGGGCCGACGGTGCGCCAGAGGAGCCCCTGCGCCATCGCGTAGGAGGCCCACCACGCGGCACTGGAGGGCGCGTAGGTCAGCACCGAGACACCGAGGCCAGGGTCCACACCACCTACGTGGCTACGGCAGCAGAGACACCGCCCGCGGCCGAGGCGGCAGCAGAAGCGGTCGGTTCCGCGACGTCGAGGCGGAGCGCAACGGAGCACACGGCGCTCTTGGTGTGCCCATACGTGAGCAAGGAACGACAGAGCACCCCTCCTCTCTTGGCCTCCACCTCGGGTAGCCACCGCCACCCTCAGTCTGCTGCCGTGGCCAGCCCCGACAGCAGAGCTCTGCCTAGGCTCGTCGAAGACCATCACCGACCTCCTGCTAGCCCGAATCGGCTGAGCACCGCCGGACCCGAAGGCCACCTTGGTCCACGACCCTTCGAAGAAGCCACCGGAGCCACGCTCGCCGCAGCCGTCGTAGAACGGGTTAGCCACTGCTCGCCATCGCACTGGAGTCGAGCACAGCAGGAGGCCGCTCACCCGACTCCGCTCTGCTTTGCCGAGCCGCATGGGCCACGGAGCCCGCCGTGACTGAAGCCGCCGTTGCGCCGAGATGGACGCCGCCTTGGGACGCTGCAAGCCGCCGCCTCCATGCCGAGCGCCGTTGCCGCCCAGCTCACGCCGGAGCCTGCTCCGCCGAGGCCCCAAGACCGCCGCCGGCGCCCTAGTGCCCTCTGCCCCTCCGCTCCGCCCTGCTCTCTCTCTCTCTCTCTCTCTCCTTCCCTCTCTGCTCTCGCTCATTGACCGCACGGCAGTCGCGAAGGGATGAGGACTGGGCCAAAACCACGGTCGTGGCGGGTTTGACTGGGCCGAAACCATGGTCGAATGGGCGCGAGGGCCAATTTTAAACGGTTTTGAGAGTTAAGGGACTGTGCGTGTCTGGTTTTCGAGTTAGAGGGCTAGAAACAAAGTGCAACCATAGTTGGAGGGCCAAAAATGGACTTTTTCCTCTCTTTTTTGCTCCAGTTAATAGAAAGGTTGGGTTTTTTTAATGAAACATATTCTAGGCGTATGAGAGTAGAGACTAGACCCAAGTATCCTACGCATATTAGCACATATGAGTGTAGAGACTAGGCTCACGTATCTTTAGATGGATGAAAAGTCACCAACTATAGAGATATTGTTGTCAAGAGACATGTTTTCTGCCACTAAACGATAATAATGAATACAAGGAAAGGATTGGCTGAACTGGTGAACCGCCCCAATCCTCGGCCTCGCATTCGTCGGTGGCCATTGGGAGCGTTGAGCACCCAACTCCCACCAGCTCCACTACAAAGTGAGAGATCCCTCACCTCTATGAACACACGGACCTCTAACATGTCAGCAGTGGAGACAGCATCTTGGCTATCGCCGACGGCGAGTAACGTGGTCTAGTTCGGTGAGGGAACATGAGACTCCCAGTGGCACAGGTTGGTAGTGGCCTCACCTTGCAATCTTCTAGATAGAGACATGTTGCGTAATCTCTAAAATAGTTGGAGAGACCCGACGCCTAGGGAGGAAGGCAATATAGCAAAGACTAATCAAATGGAAATCAACCAAAGGTGAGCAATATAGCGCCAAACCCATGCACAATTCGTCAGCTCATATCAAAAACATAAAACCAATAACATTTGGCGAGCATACATTAAACACAAGTGCAAATTCTTTGCCTTGGTTCTAATTCAAAATAAATTCTTACGACAGACGATTTAGCACTCCAGGGATGACTGTACCTTGTGTGAACACAGCAAGGGAAGGCGGCACCGAAAGGCCCCCTGCTGTGATACTGTAGTCGTTGCAGGTGCAGGCGCCGCACGGCTCACCTGCGGCACTGTAGGCACATGCATTGGCCGGCGCAGAGTCAGGCCTGTATGTTGTCTAGTCACTGTTAAAGCAGGGCAGCTGTACTGGGACTAGATAGATAGAGTTGTATAAATAGACTACCATGGCAACTTAGTAAAGAGAGTTCAGATTTGCCATCTCTCAGACAGGGCTTCGGCCGACGCTGGTGTCTTGTACTGTGTGTGCATGCTATGTTCTCCCTTCTTCTTCAAGCTCTAGCCATAATGTGTGGGGACGGACAACGCCTGTTCATGGTCGGCACGGCTAGCGGGTGCTCGGCAACACTGGTGAGTGGTTCACTCACCTGAGCCGGTGATCCTGTGGGCCAACAAGTGGTATCAGAGCCGTACAAGCGCCGTCGCCAGACTAACCGCTGGCGATGACAGACGGTTCGGAGATGGGCGACAGCAGTGGCACTACTGTGGCTGCCCAGCCACGACCGGAGGTCGTTGTTCGCATGGTGTAGGAGGTCAGTGGCACCAGTTGGCCGACGCTGACTCGCACCAACTATGGAGAGTGGTCGGTGACCATGAAGGTCAAGCTCAGAGCCCGACGGCTCTGGAATGCTGTTGACAAGGGCACCAACAATGAAGAAGATGACATGTCAGCGTTGGAGGCTGATGAGGACATGACACCCATGCATATGACCAAGTTTGGCATATGGTATGGAGGGGAAGGAGGCCAGCAAGGGTGTCCAAGTCAAGAAGGAGGCTCGAGGCTAATTCGGTTCGAGTCCCTAAGGTGGAGGCCCAAAGCAACTCAAGTTCGAGTCTGCCTCGGCCTCCAGGACCAGTCTGCCTTAAACTGGTCACCCAGGACGCATCCAGACTCCGTTTTCGATGATCCATATATGGTTGGAAAGCTAATTTGATAAGAAAGCCAATCCAAGTGGTCTCATGTCAAAATCCCTTCAGAATCAATGGAATCGTCGAACCAAGTCAGTGTCCATAATCTACCAGGGTGCTGCGACACCGTCTTTTGGTCCGTTGGGCCGTGTGTCATGTTTGGGCCCATTAGGGGGCACGTCCAGGGTAGGCGACGACCCTAAGACCTTTATAATCATATGTCACCGCCGTCATTAGGTTTTGGGTTTTGCTTAGATTATTCTGTCAAGAACAGTTTCACCGTTCATCGGTTTGTGAGACCCCAACTTTGAGAGATTAATCGTTCATCTACAAATTGGTTGCGTTCTTTCTTGTTCTTGCTTGTGTT